GCCTCCCAAGTAGCTGGGACCACAGGCGCCCGCCACAATGTCTGGCTATTTTTTTTGGTTGCAACTATCATTGTTGTTTGGCAGGCCCAGGCTGGATTCAAACCCGCCACCTTAGGTGTATGTGGCTGGTGCCTTAGCCACTTGAGCCATAGGCGCCCAGCCTAGGGTTAATTTTCAAAATGTTACAGCTAGCACCTGATACTGTCCAGAGTTTTGTATCTAGAATAAACAATTTATCCATCCATTAAAAATGTTCCTGTGCTTTAACTAGAATTCTTCTGGGAATTCATTTTAGCAAAATATTCTAAATAGAAAAAAATTCATGCATGAACATTTAGTATAGCATTCTTTAAAATAGTAACAACTCTAAATGGCAAAAATGGGGGAATGGTTAAGCAAATTGTGGTCTTCCTTATAATAAAAGATAATAGTTATCAAAAATGTCCACAAGAGATTTTTAACATGGAAAATGTCTTATGTAATGTTGGGGTGGTGCTGGTTGGGCAATATTAACTTGTTTCAGGTTCACAAAACTAAGGACAAAACGACAAACTAAAAGGAACATTTTTTAATCAGTATGACAGAGGAAAGGTTAATAATCTTTAATATATAAAAAAGATTTTTATTCATTATGAACACACATGAATAGACAAGAATAAGGCCTCAGGAGAGACAAAAGATATGAACAATTTACAAAAGAGAAAACATAACTGGATAATAAACATGAAAAAATATTTTAATCTGTATTGAGATTGAATGATGAGATGCCTTATAAATAATTAAGCACACACATGTTCATCAATGAATAGTTTACAACAAAAAGACCCCCTTTGCTAGTATCTCATGTAAGTTTCAGTGAGGATAGGCTACAGACTTTTTTTTTGTTGACTGTGCCAGGATGAATAGACAGATGGCCCACAAGGTACTCTAACCTTCAAATTACAGATGATCTAAAAAGTCTATAAGTTAGGGCAGTGCCTGTGGCTCAGAGAAGTAGGGTGCTGGCTCCACATGCCAGAGGTGGCGGGTTCAAAGCCAGGCCCAGCCAAAAACCACACACACAAAAAAAGTCTACCTTAACCACAGGAACATTTTTATGTACTCCCTGCTGCTCCTAACTAACTGTGCCTTGTGTTACAAAGCAATTTGGAAACCCTTACAGCCCATATCAGAGTATTTCCTCTGTTCCATTTCGCCTTCCTTCCCTCTCAAGATCTCATAAGTCATTTCCTAACCAGCAGTGATGGTGAACCTTTTATCTGAGTATCTTAGTTGCTCCCAGTGATCCTGATCCAAGGAGAAGAGAGAATAGACACTTTTTAGACAAACATTCACATACTAGTGGCAAATGCTACAACAGAGGGGATCAAATTTCTTGATCTCAGAATCTGTTTATATTCTTTAGAATTTTTAAATTATTGGGGACCCCAAAGAGCTTAGTTTATGTTGAAATATATCTGTTGCTATCTACTATATTAGACAGTTAAAACAAAATGTTAACCATTAAAATAACAATAACCTGTCACACATTAGTAAAAATAATACTTTATGGAAAAAACCTGTATTTCTCCCCCCAAAGTGAAAATAATAGTATCGTTTTAAATTTTTATAAATGTCTTTACTATTTATCTAGGTAAACAGTAAAGGAAGACAGCTGGATTCTCACACCTGCTTTCAATCTCTTGCAATAGGTTCTGTTCCTTGAAACATATGAAGTGTCAGGCCGCATATGAAGATATGAAGGTGAAAAGGAGTATTTTAACAGATAACCATGAATATCGTTCCTTGACATTTATGAATATTCTTCCTTGACATCACATAAAAAATTAACAAAGGAAAGTTTCCTTTTTTTTTTTAAAGACAGAGTCTCAAGCTGTCACCCTGGGTAGAGTGCTGTAGCATCATAGCTCATTGCAACCTCAAACTCTTAGGCTCAAGTGATCCTCTTGTCTCAGACTTTCTATTTTTATTTTTTTTTTTTTTTTTGAGACAGACCCTCAAGTTTTCCCCCTGGG